ACTTTTAAGAACAGAAATCAGTGTAAATGGACTCCAGATCCAGGTCTGGAGTTTGGATTTGATCCCCAATTCAGTGGGAGCTTTAGAGGGCTTAAAACAGGAACAGAGAAGGTGAGACCAGTTTGGAGTTTTTTTATTTGTTTTTGTTTTTGTTTCTGTTTTTTGAGATAGGGCCTCACTATGTAGCCCCTGTCCTTGAACTCGCTCGGTATCCCAGGTTGGCCTCAAACTCTCAGTGAGCATCCTGCCTCAGCCTCCTGAGTACTGGGATCACAGGTGTGCACCACCACACTAAGCATGACAGCAGTTTTGACGGCAGTCCCTCTAACAGCATTATGGAGATCAAAGGAAGAGAAACCAGCTGGCAGCAACCTGCTAGAGTCCAGAAGACACTGACAAGGGCATGAACTAGGAGGACCAACTGTCCCAGTTTGCACAAAGCCATCTGGTTTTAACTTTGGAAGACCTTCGCTCAGGCAGCTTGTCAGTCCCAGGCAAATGAGGATGGTTGGTCATTCCAACCTGAGCCTTGCAAGCCGCTGGATGCCACCATTCTCCAGGGCCTCACCTGGCCTGAGAGTTATCTGATGCAGTGCTGCTTGGGGATCTTGGAAGTGCTCTGTCTGCCCTACCCTGTGCCCCCACAGGCCCCTTCTCCACCAGCACTCCTGTGCCTCCTTTTGCTACATTCTGGGCTCAATGACTTCTACATGCACGCAGAGATTTGCTAAGAAAACAACACCACTCACCACTTTCCAGTCTTCTCTTCTGCTCCCCTCGCAAATCTGAGGCTCCTCTCAAAGTACACTATTCCCTGTGCCACAGGCCTTTGTGTGTGCCGGGTCCCCACGGAAATATGTTTCCCACTTCTCAGCCTGTGAGAGCCCATTGCAAATAGCACTCTCCACAGCTGAATACCAGTACCATGGAACAGCTCTTGGGTGACAGACACTGCATCAAGGGCTTTTCAGATATCACCACTACTCCTTATAGCAAATAAGTATGAGTAGTCCTTTCTACCAGATGAGGAAACCAAGGCTCACAGAGGGCAGGTGTTTCATCCAAGGTCACATAGCTATTAGCCTTCCTGTCTCTGTAATTTTCTGATGGCCCCCATCCCTGTATGGATGATAAATGCATTTCTTTCCTTCTCCTCCTACTCCTTTAGCTCAACATATACACAACTGCAAGCCTAGTACAATATCAGACTCCTAGCACCTAGGGCCGCAGTAGAAGTGTGCTGAGCGAAGGGGTTATATATGTACTTTCTATAGTATCTAACCTGGTGCCTGACATTAAAGAGGTTCTCCATTGCTGCTTTTAATTGACCTGAAATTGCAATACCTAACCATATAAGGGTGGATTGTGGCAGAACCTAAGCTATTCAAAGCTTTCTGGAAATGAGTCATTCTGAAGGCTGAGGTTTACCCCTGAATGCAGAAAGAAGAATCGTAGCGCTTCTTCTCAGGGAGAACTCCCCTATCGCCTTACTCATCTTTTCCTTCCACTTTCCTGCTGTCTTTGTTTTACTGTTATTCTTTTGAAGTCTCTTAGGAGTTCGGCTTATCTCAGCTCCCCATCTCTTGTGGTGAGGAACTCATTGTCATCTTTTGGGGGCCACCTTTCCAAGGCCTTTCCACCTGACCATTTTCTCTTCGCCAAAGCATGTGTTTCCCACACAGCCTTCCTTCACTGCCCAGGCCTGGCCTGGCGGGTGCTTCTCTCTGTGCGCCCCACGTCACTCCATGCAAGTGTGTGTTTTTCCAGCTGCTTCCCACACTGGACTGTGAGTTTCTTGAGGCAGGAAATCATGTTACCCTGAATCATTTGCAAATGAAATTGGCAACCCTTTTGTACTTCTTGGCCACCATTCCTTTGTTTATGCTTAATTGAGGGAGCCAGCTTTTGTTGGTTTTTGTTGCTTGGTTAAATTGCAATTGGGAAATCACGAGTGCTGGAAGTTTGGGGTTTCATTGTTGGCCTACTTCTCTCCTGCTCTTTTGCTATGTTCTTTGGTGTTTATGTCACACTCCATTTAGCTCAAAAACACCCCAGCTTGGTGGCATGTTTGGGCGGGGGGAGGTAGTCAATCAGGGTTATCCGCAAACTCCACTGGCTCACTACGAGGGCCCGGGAGTCCTGACCTCCCTTGTTGATGCAAGCATTTACTTAAGTGATGACCACACCAGGCCCTCATCCAGATGTTAGGGAGACAAGGGCAGAAAATAGTCTGGTCCTGCTGTGCCTCTGGTCCATGTGTGACCTTCAGCCCTCTTCACATAGCCTCCATTTACCCATCTGAAAATGGAGGAGCAGGGAGAGCTGATCTGTAAGGGCCTTAGGGCTCTTGGCATCACAGGTCTTGTCTGTCCTGGGTACAGGCCCCTCCACGTCTGCTCTCCCTGAGAAGAGCCAGGCTTTCCGCTCTTACTTCTTACCATCCTCTCCTACAGCTTCTGAGCAGACATGTTCCCACACTGCCCACCCTGCATGTGAATAGACAGCTCCAAGAAGCACTTCGAAAAGCCCAGCTAGCTCAGGGGGAATAAAAGAAAGAAGAGAAAGAGAGAAAGGGCTGGCCTGTCAGTGGCCATCTAGGGCATGTCGGGGAATGAAATGCACACTGACATATTAAAAACATTCCCTAAACTCAGTTCTGAAGAGTCATATTAATCAGTTGCATCAGGGATGCCAAACCAGAGTGGGAGGTGGGAAGAAGATAGAGTTCTGCTTGTTTTCCTAGAAAAGCCTCAGGAATCAATGTTTCCTTGCACTTGTAGGACACTTGACACCATTTTTTTTTGTATCCTGGCAACCCTTTCAGTTACATTCAACAGATTTATTGTGTTTGAGACAGGGTCTTGCTCCCTGTAGTCTGGGATGGCCTTGAACTTGCTATGTAGCCCACATTGGGTTTGAATTTGGTGTCTTCCTCCCTCAACCTCCTGAGTGCTGAGATTACACGTGTGCATCACCAAACCTGGTAACAAAAATTTTTTGAGCACCTTCTGTATTCAAGGCCTTATGCTGGAAATATTGGCCTTTTCTTGTAGGACACACTGCAAATTCAAAAGTACAATTGTGATATTTTCATTTTATTTTTTTGAAAATTTTTAGGGGCTGGGGATTTAGCTCAGTGGCACAACGCCTTCCTGGCAAGCATGAGGTCATGAGTTTGATTCCCGGTACTGGAAGAAAACCAGAAAAAAAAAAAAAAATTTTTTTTATTATTTTAATGAAAATAGTACAAAAAAAGAGCAATAGCCAAATACAAACAAAACAAAGCAAGGACATTAAAAATGATACGGGCTTTCAAACCAAATAATAGGGATTAACAGTGGTTGTTATATTACATATTGTTATCTTCAACGAAGTTGCTCAGATTACCAGATGAAAGAATAGAAGACTGATCAAATTATTAAAGGGGGTGGGAAAATAATAATTTAAAAGGACATTAGAGACAATACATAGTTTCACTAGACAGGACTGTAAGAATTTACACCACAGCGATATATGTGCACCCATGTTTATAGCAATGCAATTTGTCATAGCTAAATCTAGGAAACAACCCAAATACCCATAACTGAGGAATGGATAAAAAGGATGTGGTCTTTTTATACAATGGAGTATTACTCAGCTATAAAAAAAGATAAACTCGAGGCTTTTATAGGTAAATGAATGCAACTAAACACCATACTCATAAGTGAAATAAATCAGACCCACATGTGTAAACACCATATTGTCTCCCTGGTGTAAGAACATGAAAGAGGAAATAAAACCCAAAATGTACAATAGATAATGTGATATTTTCATTTTAATGTCTGTCTCCCCCACAAGACTGTAAGCTCAACAAAGACAAGAACCGTGTTTGTCTTCTTCCTCATCAAATACTTAGCATATGACAACAGTGCCTGGCAAACTGGAGTCACTCAATAGATGGTGACAAAAAAAACCCAGAGGTCTGGCACCTAGGGACAAGCTTTACTTTTGCAAAGGCTGGTTCAGTGTGCAGAAGCTAGCCTCTTCATATGAAACATAATAGATGTTCAATAGCCATGAACTGAATTAAATGAATAATAACATTAGTAAATACTTATAGAGAGCCTACTGTATACCAAACCTGTGCTAAACATCTTACATGTATTCACTAGTTGAATTCTCAGGACAACCTTATGAAAATTATGCATTATTGTTATCCCCATTGTACAGAAGGAAAAACCAAGGCGTAGAAGTTCACCAACTTGTAAGTGGCACAGCTGAGATTTGAACTCCAGATGTCTGAGGTCCAGCTATCCATGAATCTAACCATAACACTACACTGCCATCCAACAATGAATACTCAAATTGAGCATGGGTGAGGTGAAGCAATTTCGAAGGGGAGTTTTCACAGGAAGAGATCAATGGTGGAGCTAGGACCAGAACCCAGGTCTCTCTCATTCTGCCATAGAGTATCTGGTGCTCTTACAGAGCCCCTGGGAATGGAGGCACAAAGAGGCATCTGAGAAGTCTAGATATGTGTGCAGAAAAACAACCTCAGTAGGCTAGTAGGCTCTCAGGGGAAGACAGGAGTCAGAGCAGCCACTAAGGTAGAAACAAGTGTGACCACCAGGTCCCCTTTATGAAGTAGGAACCGGTGGTAGGCTGCTTCTCAGAGTTCCCGGTTGAGACCTACATGATTCTGTTTTCCTACACTGATTCATCAGAGACACCCCTACAACTAGCACCACTCAAGGTCATTTCTGCCTCATTGCAATTGGGTGCACGTACAGAAAGATACATTCTGGGGACATGAGATAGGCTCTCTGCAACGTGATGTGTGTGTAGGAGTCAGGGCGGAGCAGTGAGTAGGGAGGACTGGAGGAAAGGTTTGATCAAGCCTGACAAAATCCCAGCAGCTAACCAGACGCAGTGGAAAGAGATTATACAAAACATCCATAAGCAACCCAGCTTAAGAGCTTTAGAGCTTCTGGTTGGGCTTCTTGCCACAGCAGAACAGCACCATGGCCATAGTCTTCTCCCAATTTAATATTCAACAAGGCCTCCAGACACTCTGTGTTATGCAGTGGATTCCAGTCTATGTAATTTTAGGTGAGTAAACCACAAGGCCTGGAGAGCACATGGGAACAGACCAAGAAAGAGCCCAGGTAACTGTAAGTGAGAAAGGCCCCGTGTGATTATCTGCTCGGTCCCCCCAGCACCCACAATAGCTTCCTATTGGGAAGGGGCAGGGTCTCAAAGGCCAAGAGTGAGGCTGTGGTTGTTCTGGTTTAAAGATTACTTCGGCCTTCTCAGGAGCTGTTCCCAATGAACTGGCTGAAAAGAGTCATATTTGGGGACAGGACAGACAGAGGTGGTGGTGGCTTGCAGAATTGGTGTTACTAGGTAGGCATAAGGTGCTTTTCTAGTGTCACCTTATGGTGAGAGAATTCTGGAAAATCTGAGGGCTGTCTGGGCAACTCATTAGAATTTGGAGAAAGGGCTGTTTGTTTGGGGGACTCGGGGAAGAGCAGTCACTGGTGCTGGACAGATAGGCTGACTGACAGCTCCACACCATTCCCAGCCAGAAACCAGGTCTTTGTTGGTGGTCAGTTATGGGAGCAAGCTTGAAAACTGGATGAGAACTAATGTCATTCTGAAAAACAGAATAGGTAGGGGACAGCTGGTTCCAACCCATGGGAGCAAGCTTGAAAACTGGATGAGAACTAATGTCATTCTGAAAAACAGAATAGGTAGGGGACAGCTGGTTCCAACCCATGGGAGGCTCTATGCCAACCTTAGCGCAGACATTCTTAACCAAGAACTCAGGGTTGACTGGGGAACTGAATCTGGATGGAAAGAGTATCTCTTTACTTTCACTATCTCTAGTTAAAATGTAGCGTCTCCTTCAACGAGGAATGTAGGCGGTACCGCCCAGAGGTGTCAGCAGTTCCTGTCGGCAGGCAGGAAAAGATTTGTACTTTGTATTAGAGCTGTTACAAGCATTTTGAAATTTCATTTATGCCCACAACTACTTCAAAATTCCAGTAGTTACTGGAACCATCATTCTATCTGGTTATTTTTTTTGTTTTGTTTTGTTTTGTTTTTTCTCCGGTACCGGGAACCGAACTCACGACCTTGCGCTTGCCAGGCAGGCGCTTTGCCGCTGAGCTAAATCCCCAGCCCTCTATGTGGTTATTTAATGCAAAATCAAGAACCACGTTCGTTACTGGGTCACATTGTGAATAATACTGTGATAACTGCATTTTAATAGAATGGATTTCCTTTGTAGGTTTGTGCATTTTATTTTGTGTATTTAAAAATATCATTCGGAGAAGAGAGCTTCATTGAACTGCCAGATGGATCCATGGCCCCCCAAAATGTAGAATTACTAAGCTTTATTAAAGTAAAATCATGCTGAGCTCATCAGCAGCTTGACTTTAGCTGTATCGGGAGGGACATGGAAGTCATTTTATTTTTGGCAAACTTATTTGTTTACATATCAGGGACCTGGCCAAGATTCCCAACTGCCTGTATGAAAGGTACGGTGAAAGGATGAAATAAGAAACAGACAAATTTAGCAATACACGAGAGGGGCTGGGGGGTCAGTGCCTCAGGGTGAGCAGAGACACTGTAAGCCAGCCACTATGTATTAGCCAGCGTAGGGGAGAGGGTAGGGTGCTTTTCCTGGAACAGCATAGAGGCTGCCCTAGAAAGGACAGATTTAACATCACAAAGGAAGCAAGCCAAGATCCATCCGCACATTTGGGTGCTAAACTCAGAAGGTGATTTCCACCTTCCAAAACCAGCTTACAAGGCAGGCCCGGTAAGGAGCGCCTAGGACATACTATGTCAATTTATAATTTCTAGTCCCCAACATTTATAGTCTTTCACAGTTGCTTTTTATTCCCCTTTGCATCCTACCGTAACTTCCTCTAAAATGCTCATTTAGTAAGTTTCAGCCCTCAGCTAGAAAAGCAAAGGGCGCAGCAGTGTCCTAGGAGATTTGGCATTGTGTCCGCAGTCACCATTTCAAGCCTGGGTCCTCCAAAGAGTGGGAAAAGAGGGGTCAGAGGGGGCAGGGGAAAGTGGCCAAGAGAGGAAGTGCTGTGGGCTAGGGCTGCAGCTCAGTGCAGTGCTTGTCTAATATGTACTAGGTAGGCCCTGGGTTCGACAACCCCTCCCACGCCTTCCCTAAAAGAAAAGAGAAGGCAAAAAGGGAAAGAGAAAAGAAAGAAAGGAAGAGCTGTGACTCCTTTTAGGCGTGGGACCTCTCCCATCAAAGCAGGCTGTGGCGTAACACTTGAACACAAAAGCTCACATTGTTCTGGCTGCCCTGAGGCAATTTTCCCATTAAAATTGGTCTTATTTTTCTCCCAGAGAAGAACTCTTTGACAAGTAGTGTTTTATCTCTTCCTTTTTGTCTTTCTAAGGGCACTGTCTCCCCGCAGGGAAAGGGTAGAAGATATGTAAAAGGCCTGGAAGGCAAGTGTTAGCTCCCACTAAATAGCTCCTACTACTGCCTTCTTCCCACTAGATCTCATCAGCTTCCAGTCACCCTGGGAGAGCTGGAGGAGTGTTAGGGACGCGATGGCACCATTGTGTCATCAATTCAAAGCACAAGTACACAGTTTAGTGGGACTGAGTAACTCACAGTGTTACACAACCATCATCACTGTCCATCTCTAGGTTCACCCATATGGTCAGAATTCTTTTCCTTCCTAAGGCTAAATAATATTACCTTGTTTGGATACACTACATACAGATTGTTTCTCATTCACACCCATTGACGGGTGCTTCCACGTCTTCGCTATTGCAAATAGTGGTGCTGCAAACATGGGTGTATAAAAATGTCTTTGAGCCCCTGATTTAGTTCTTTTAGATATAAACCCAGAAGTGGAATTGGCGAATCATGTGGTAATTCTGGTTTTTAATTTTTTGAGGAGCTGCCAACCTGTTTTCCACACTGGCTACATTATTTTACATTTCCAACAACAGCGCACAAGGGTTCCAATTTTTCCACATGCTCACCAACACTCATTTTCTGTTTGTTTTTGCTGTTATTATCGTTGTAATCATACTAATGGATAAGAAATGACAGCTCACTGTGTGTATGTGTGTGTGTGTGTGTGTGTGTGTGTGTGTGTGTTTTCTGGTACTGAGAATTGAACTGAGGGCCTTAGCACTAAGATGCATCCCCAGCCCTTTTTTGTTTTTATTTTTGTTTTTGAGACAGGGTCTTGCTAAATCTCTAAGTTGCCCAGGCCAGGCTGGAACTTGTGATCTTCCTCCCAGAGTGCTGGGATCACAGGCTTGCACCTCAAGGCCCACTTTCATTGTGGTTTTGATTTGCATTTCCCGAATGATTGCTGATCTGGAGCATATTTTCATGTGTTTCTTGGCCATTTGTCTGATGTCTTGTAGAGTATCATCCCATATGTCTTTTTCTACTCACTTAAATGTTAAACGCCCTGATTTTGTTCCCTTAGTGATTCTGCTAGGATTTAAAAGAATCTTGGGTCTTGGAAAATTACCAGGATAGCTACAGCATCTGACAGGGTGTGATGTCCGCAGAGGTGTTGAATACATTAAAATGTCTTTTGCAGTAGTTCGACTGCAAATACTAATTCTAAGACTTTGAGAAACCTTTGCTGAGACTACAATAATTAGTTAATAAAGGTCCTTTGCTATATAATTACAGAGATGAATCAATCATTTATTCAACCATTATACATCTTTTACAGGTCAGTACTGAACAAATACACAAGTCACTGCAATGTAAGATTGTGGGAAGTGAAAAAAAGAGCCATGACAGAGAACTATTAGGGTGCTAGAGAAAGAAAGGTTGAGAGGGGGCAGGGGAGGCGGGAGAGGAAAACAGTGTAGCGTGGTGAACAGAACAGGAGTTGGGGGTTACATTAGGATGGGATAACAATTAGCTATGTGACTTTGGACAAGTACCTGAATCTCTCTAAACCTTAGTAACCCCACCGTCTCAGCCTGATCCACAGGAAATGCCCCGCACAGAAAAGCTAGTCTTCCTTCCTGTTTCCTGTCTCCCTCTCTCGCCTCTCATGTGTATTTTCTCTCTTGCTCAGAGCCTCCCCTGCTGCTTTTCCTCTTCCTGAATGATGTTCAAAATTGTGGCTGATTGCTGAGCATTATTGGATATGATGGAGAGGAAAAGGGCAAAATAGGGGAAAGTGGGAGAAAAAAGGCAGAAAGAAGGACAAGAAGGAGGAAAGGAGTGAGAAGAGATGAACAGGAGCATGAGTTGCGGGAGATGTGGGATACAAATATTCATGGTCCTTATACTTAGGCAACAGCTCTGACGGCCTTTCTGAGAAGCAGTTTCCATTCAGGAGAATGCTTTGTATCTAGCTCTTCTTGCTTGTGTCACCATCTCCCTGAACTTTTACACTGTCCTCTTTTGTGGTCCTCTAGCCCCTCGTCTGCACACTCTCCATTCTACTGTCTGTTCCGGAACGACTCTTCCAAAAACACCTTTGATTGCACCCCTTTCCTGCTCAAAAATAGGCAATGGTTTCCCACTGCTTTCTTGATGATGTACAAATGTGTTAGCCTGGGCATTCAAGGTCATTCTGCTCTCTCTGGCTCTGACCCTTTCCCGGTTTATCATCCTAATCTTCCCCTCAATGATATTTCTATTTCAGGCAATCTAATCACAGAATAAACCAGAAATGAACCTTCCTACTCCTTCCCCTCTGCTCTGAGTATTCCCTCCACTGGAAATATGCCATGGTACCCCCATCTTGGACTCTTCAGAGACTATACACTGTTCCAGTATTTTAGAAACAATTGTCACCTGCCTCTGCCCAATTCCATCTTCTATGGTGAACACAGAAGAACAGACTGTTTTTTCCAAAACGATTGATCAATTTGGTTCCATATGCCATTTAAAAAGAAACAAGAAATAGGAAAACCTAAGACCTGTACTGTAATGCATAATATCAAAGTAGATTTATATAGTTATTCCAAATTTTAGAGGGATACAATAACCTCAGAGGTTTTTTTGAGCATAAAAAGCAAATTTTATATGGTAAAATACCTACTATTGTGTGCACATAATGGTTCTCAATATCAAAGAAAAA